TCAAGATGGGATGACACTGGGTTCATCTCTCTTCATGGACACATCAATACTACAACTAATTACAGAGTGACTTGCTGAAATTGACCTGGGGACTAGCAAAATAGCTATTCTACAACCAAGACTGTAAGAAAGATCCACATGGAGTTGGATAGGAGGGGAGAAGAAGGGATCTACACCCCTAGTGGGGGAAACAAAAAAGGAGGGGGCTATCAGGGATCCTCCCTAGGGAGCAAGGGGTTTGAGCCATGCATTAGGCACCTCAGCCCTGAGGTCGGGCACTGGGAAGATAAGCCCCCTTAGCTTGTCTGGAAACTAGTCGGGCTTACTGAGGGCTGTAAGAAACTGAGACTCTGCTCTTGAAGAGCACATGCACAGATTTGCTTACTTCCAATCACAACATAGAATGAAAACTGCCTAGGGACCGCCCCAGTGTGCCATGCCCCTCAGCCTACACCAGGCTCCTGCTCCAGCCCCTCTTGCTCCAGCGCTGCTCTTCTTTAAGGCAGAGGCTGCTGTTGCCAACAAGGATGTGCACGCTAGGAGAGAATGGAGGGGGCTCGGACTCCAGCCCTCCCTCTGACTAGGAAGGAGGCAACCATTACCAGCTCATGAATCTCTGCCCACAGTCTGGAGGGAGAGTACCACCGCTGGAGTGTACATCCCTGTGCACACTAGGGAGGGCATGAGGCCAGATCAGAGGCATGGTCCCAACCCAACCTCTAACCAAGGGTGCACACTGGGGAAAAAGTAAAACCAGCACAGAAGTGCAGTCCCAAGCCCTCAAGCCCCAGCCATGTCCTAAACCAAGATGGAGACTGCCATCATATCTAGGAGAAACCCAGCTCTCTCGGAGCTCCTGCTCCAGGCCTCTGCCCTGACTCCATTCTCAATAGAGCCACTGAGTATAGGAGAAGCCCCAGGCCATGCTCACTTCAAATCCAGCTGTCCCACCAAAGCCACTGGACTCACATAGACTGCACAGGGATGCTCCCACACAAGGACATGACAGCAAGACCAGGATAGGCAACTGTTTCATCTGATTTCATACAGACAGAGAAAGTTAAACAAAATGGGAAGACAGAAGCATAAGTTTCTGATGAAAGAGACAAATAATTTACCTAATAAAGAGTTCAAAGCAATAGTAATGAATGCTATGTGAACTGGGGAAAAGACTAGATAAACATAGAATTTCAACAAAGAACTTGAAAATACAGAAAAAAACCAGTCAGAGCTGAAGAATACAATAAATGAAATGAAAAATACACTAGAGGGAATTATCAGCAGATTAGGTGATACAGAACAATGCATAAGCAATCTGGAAAATAGAATAATGGAAATCACCCAATCCAAACAACAAAAAGGAAAACAAATTTTAAAAAATTAGAACAGTCTAAGGAACCTCTGGGACAATAATGATAGTACTAACATTCACATTATAGGGATCCCAAAGTTACATCATACTGACACAAAAACAGACACATAGTTCAATGGAACAGAATAGAGCCTAGAAAAAAACCCACGCACATAGAGTCAATTCATCTATGACAAAGGAAGAAAAAATATGCAATGGGGAAAAGACAGTCTCTTCAATAAGTAGTCCTGGGGAAACTGGACAGCTAGATGTAAAAGAATGAAATTAGAGTATTTTCTCATACCATATGGAAAAATAAACTCAAGAGGGATTAAAGACTTAAATATAAGACCAGAAACCATAAAACTCCTAGAAGAAAACATGTGCAGTACATTCTTTGACATAAATCTCAGCAATATTTTTCTGGATCTGTCTCCTCAGGCAAGGGAAACAAAAGTAAAAATAAACAAATGAGACTACATCAAATTAAACTTAAAAGCTTTGGCACAGTGAAGGAAACCATTAACAACATGAAAAGACAAACACAACATTATAAATCAATTATGCTTCAATTTAAAAAAATTGAAAAGACAACCTACTGAATAGAATATATTTGCAAATATTATATCTGATAAGGGGTTAATATCCAAAATGTATTAAGAGTTCATAGAAATCAGTATCAAGAAAACAAACAACTCAATTTAAAAATGGACAGAAGACCTGAAAAGACATTTTGTGAAAGAAGAATTACAGGTGGCCAACAAGCACATGAAAAAAATGCTCAATATCACTCACTAATCATCAGGGAAATTCGAATCAAAACTATACTGAGATATCACCTCACACCTATTAGAACAGCTATCATCAAAATAGACAACAAATAATAAATGTTGATGAGGATGTGGAGAGAAGGAAACCCTAGCTCACATTGGTGGGAATGTAAATTGGTTCCCCCCAAAATTAAAAATTGAACTACCAGCAATTTCACTCCTGGGTATATATCTGAAGAAAATTAAAACACTAATTTGAAAAGATATATGAATCCCAGTATTTATAGTAGCATTATTTTAAACAGCAAAGATATGGAAGCAATCTAAGTTTCCACCAGCAGATGAATGGATAAAAAAGGTGTGATACACACACACACTCCAATATTACTTAGCTATAAAAGAGAATTAAAATTTCCCATTTACAACAACAGTGATGGACCTGGAGGGTATTATGCCTAGTAAAGTAAGCCAAAAAAAGAAAGACAAATATTGTATCTTTTCACTTATATGTGAACTCTAAAAAACAAACAAACAAACAAAAAGTAACAAAACAGAAAAAGACTCATAGATACAGAAAACAAATCAGTGGTTACCAGTGGGGAAAGGGGTGGAAGGAGGGGCTAAGATAGGAAAGGGGATTAAGGGGTACAGACTATTAGGTATAAAATAAGACACAAAGCTATATAGCACAGAGAATATAACCAATATTTCATAATTTTAAGTGGAGTACAATCTATAGAAATACTGAATCACTATTTTGTATACTTGAAGCTAACATAACACTGTAAATCAAGTATACTTCAATAAAACAAAAACTAAAATATACAGAAGAAATCAGGGTGGACCTAACTCCCTAACCACCAACTAGAAGGGATTTCACCTGGAAAGACTCCCTTCAATGAGGAAAAGAGTGATGATAACAAGCAACACTATTTCCCAATCAGAGTTTGAAATCCATTTTGTGGATTTTGTTCAGGTAAGATAATATATTCTATTATTAAGTCAACACTTCCCTTATCTCCAGCAATACACTGTGGAAACATGGTCTGAGATAAATTCTGAAGACTCAGAGAAGCCTAGAGACTGTTCAGCCCCATGAGAATTCAGGACTAAGGACCTATCCCCACCTGCTAGAAACAAAAGAAAAATATTTCTGTAGTATTCACACCATATATGTCTTAACAGAATTAAATGACTGTTGGAGCTCCACACACAAACCCATTTGGGGATGGTGTTCCCCAGCAAATTGGTGGCATGTGGGAATGTCTTAGTGCTCCATCTAGCTGCATGGTGCTGGACATGGGAGACTACAATCCAGTGGAAGGAGCTACCTGCTCTCCTCTCCCAGAGGAACTTCCCACCACCACTTCTGCTCCTGCTTCTGCTGTTCCCTCTAAGCCATTGTGTTCTGTTATTTCTTAACTGTAAAAAGGAATCTCCAATCCTTGGCACCTGGGGTTGGATAATTGAGGTCTGGATTACAGTTAGGCCCGGAATGCTGGTGGGGCTGATAACAACATGGATAAACAAAGTTTTAGGTGGTCTCAGAATGACTACAAGGGGAGCAAATATGAGAAGTTTGTACTGACCAAGCTTCTTGAACAGAAGAAAATGACTGTGTTATCTGAAAACTGATTCATTAAAGGCCCTAAGTGTATACTTCAGAAAAGAGAAGATACTGCACTTGTACTCAGGGACCTAATGTAGAGAAGACCTAATGGGGAAAAGAGAATTCACATCAAAAATTTAAAAATAAGTAGAAGCATACATGAAAAGAACATGAAGCACGTAAAGCTGGATGAATCAGCAAGGCTTCAGTGAAGTGACTGGACGTAGTATGGATTGATGAGGAGTAGAAGAAGAAAGGAAAGGACTGTGCTTAAAAATTTTGAGAGACATGAATACAAGGGTGGCCATGAGGGCTGTGTAGTTAGGAGCTGACTGTCAAAATTCATGTGATGAAGGGGTCACAGTAGGATTTGAGATCATTAGCACCAAAGCCTCTGAGAAGGGGAGCCCAGCAAAATAAAATTAGAAGATATTTAAAGTTTACTGTCAAGGATATAACTGACGGAGCAGGCAGGGTCCGAAGGGTAAAGCATGGAACTGGGAGCATGAGACTGCTGTGGAAATACCAAGCCAAGACTAACAGGGCTCTAGCATCCAGAATGGATGAGATGAGGCAGAGCTGAAATAGTTTCAAAGTAGGATTGACTATGTTTGGCAATAGACAGGAAGGATAACGAGTTTTAATGAAATTTTAGAAGTTTTAAAGCTTATGCAAAGATTTGTGATTATTAAATATGGAGATACCAATTGTTGGCTAAATGGAAGTCATTCTAGAAATCTAATGCTATGATTTCAGTAGAATAAACCCCTCTAATAAGCTTATTAAAAACTAATCAATATGCCAGTATATAACTTTTCTAGCCAGGCTGATGAGCTGGTTTGTTGAGAGGTCACAGAATGGTTCCTAATTAGGTGGATACACACTCTTCCACTCTCCTACTTTCTAATTTGATCTGCTTTCCTTAATTCCATCTGCAGAGTCTCAGAGTTTGTTGATGGACTGTGTGCAGCTTGCAAACAAACACATGACCAAAAGCAACAGCCATCAGTGGCTCACATAAGATACTCAGATGCAAACAGCACTGTTGGTCAGCTGGCCAGCTGTGAGCCAAGCACCAAGTGGGGCAGCAGAGGTGTTCCTTCTTGCCCTTGTGGCAGTGCTGGTGGTTTTTCAGAACTCTTTAAAGTACATTTTCTTGCCTTGGGAAAAGTGTCCTCATCTTTCCACTGTTCTAAGTCAGGGTGAATGTCTGCCCACACAAGAATACCCATTAGGGAAGGCTGAGGTCTCTCTGTTCTTGTTTGTGCAGGTGACGTGATGCAGCTGAGCTCTAAGAGGAAGTGACTAGAAGCCATTTTCCAAGAACTGAGGACGAAGAAAACACAATAACTTTTTTCATCTTTTCTCTTTTTTCTGGTGGGAGGGGGTAGAAGCAACATAGGAAGGTATAAAGGACAGGGAATGATATTTTAAATTTAATAAGACGGTTATAAAGGTAGCTTAATTTGAGGACTCTTGGTTCTTTGAAGCTTTTACTGGACGTGCCCAAAACAACTCCTGCTGTCTCAGAATTTGTTACGTTCGTCTGACCTCTGTGGAGGATGGTCCGTGGTCAAATTCTGGCCAAAGAAACTCACAAAATGCGGTGTTAGAGAAAGTTTAGAGAGAAAAAGGAACTTAGATCATCTAAACTCTTCACTTTACAGAGGAGAATGCTGAGGACCTTGATGAGAAGTTACCTGCATGAGGCCAAAGAGTCAGTGTCAGAACCAAGACAACAGCTTTTGTCTCCCAGACCTTCTAACTCCCAGTCCTGTGCCATTTTTGAAAAAATCTCAATTTTCCTAAAATCAAACACTTTTATAAGTTAGTTATTTTTCATGGATTGCTCATATATATTTTTTCCTCAGTCTAGACGGAAATGTAGGGAGATGGATGCTACTGAAGTTGTCTACCTAGTATGACAGCAAATTAGCTGGGGCGGTGAAAAAATAAATCACAGAAAATACTGGGAAATCTGTTCTTCTTGTGAGAAAGCATTTGCAGAAAGTAAACAATGAACATAGTGACACTGTCAAAGTCTCTTCCACTTTAATATAGATTACTTCATCAAATAAATGTTGCACATTTTACTTGGGGAGTGATCTGGATGGGAACTAATATGATTACGAGGACTGCTGAGATTGCTTTGGCACAAAGCACTGTGCTGAGTTAGTCTATGGTTTAACAAAGCTGATTGTCAGGTGATAATAACAAGTACATTCATAAACCCTGCTTTGATTTTCCTAGAAGATTCTTCTAGATCTTCATTTACAGACACATTGTGTAAAGAGCACAAATGACTAGTGGTAGGTAAAAATGTTCAGGTCTACTGATATGTCAACAGTCCCATGTGGGTTGGGGTGTGGGCACTGGAGTAAAATGTACTTGGGCTTCCCAACCTAACATTACACAGGAGAAATCTGGTTAAAACGGACACAAAGGTCAGTCCTTGGAAAGAAAGCAGAATATCCCAAAAGGGAAGGCAGTCTCAGGGAAGACTAAGACAGTCACCAAGAAACCTGCTCAATCCTCTACTCCTTTTCTATGATTATATAAATATGAACCTCAGGTCTTTTTGGATTGAGTTGGAATGCCACCTCTATTCCCACACCTGCTGCTTCTTGACTGCTCCAAGCACCTGGTCTCAGCAGGAGCCCAGAAGCAGCTGTCACAGTGGAAATTCCCCAAATGTGAAGCCCGCAGGGGATCACCCAAATTTTCCACACCCCAAAGATGACTCGGCTGCACACTTCTCAGAGATATAGTAAGCTCTTGGCTGGGATGAGCCTGCAGATTTCTATTTGTGGCTTCACTGTCCCTAGGACCAAATTAAACCTTGATTGCTGCATGACTGGCCACTGTGCAATATCTATTCCAACACCAGAAATACCTCAGAACCATTTCCCGCTGAACACACACACATAAGCACACACTGCTTCCTTGGTGTTGCTGTAGCTTAAGAAAGGAGAAGCAACAAAACACTTGTAATGAACACTGACTAAACATTCATTAAAAAGGAGATGGTAATAGCTGCCTATCTAAGACTACGTGGTTAGAAAACAACAATACAAACCAAATGATGAAAAAACCAACAACAATATTTGTATGTGTCATGTAATTTACAGTCATTCTGACCTCCATGACTTTATTTTATCCTCACAGAAGTGTTACAAGTGAAAAATGTATATGTCCTAATTTTTCACATGGGCAGTTTCTGATACTGGTGTGCTATTAATGTTTAAAATCCAACTCTCTGGAAAAAAGAAAAATTAAAGGCCCTGATTTCTAGTGTTTGCCCATTGACATGGTATAAACACTCCAACATGGTCTTTTTCACAATACCAACATACCACTGTCTGCAGACTTAGGAAGAGAGACATACAACCACTGGATCCTCAAGAGTCTGTACAAGCTCACTCCAGCACACCACTGGGTTCAGAGAAGGGAAATGACTGATCCAAGGTCACACAGATGGTTGATTCCCGAGCCCATTTTCCTTCCTCTTTATTACAGACCTAGAAGGAACTGAGCATCCAAAAGCCTTTATTTTAAAAAGCAAAAATGTATGTATATCTGCAAGGCTAGACAAAAAAAGGGAGTAGGGGACCTCAACTTTGTGGAAACTCTCAGCCATACAGACAGGGGCAGGAACACCACCACTGCCTCATGGACTGGTCTATACCTGTGCTTATGTTCCAGACTTGCTATCTCACATGTGACGCCAATTTTGAATTTGAGGAGAAGACTTACCTTGTTTCCCTAAACAATACACAGCCCCATACTCCCTGCAAATGGGGCATACATTCTCAAGCTATTTTCAGCTCCTCTGCACCTACTCACTTGCAATACTTGTCATGACAGGAAGTCAGTTTCATATACTGTAATCCCCAAACATGTTGCGCCGGCATGTGGGGGACACAAGGGGGATGAGGAAAGTATGGGGAGGCTGGGCCTCCCAGAAGGCCACCTGGGTAAGCACTGAACCTATCCTTAATCTGGGCATTCCCCCTCTGAGGGCACAAAGTGTCAGAAACCAGAATCCAAATATAGACACTGTTATCCTTTCTCATGCAGTGGGTGATTCCTTTTTTTTTTTTAATAAAACATTTGAGTAGGCAGCAAAGCCAGTAAGAACTGTTTATTTATAGCTGTGGATTTTCAATGCTGTATAAATTAGAAATCATTGCTGAATGAGGCCTGCGCCCACTCACACACGCAGGGCCGCTATCTGAGTCCTTTCACACAGTTTGACTGTACACAGTCTAAAATGGGAGAAAATGACATGCTCTGAGTCAAATGATGGAGTCACAGCTAAACTGCAAAGCAGAAAACCAGCAATTATTTTTCCTCAGCACAATATGGGGAGTACGACAGGTGCAATTATCCAATATTATTTAACAGCATCGGTTTGTGGTGTAGAAAGAAAATAAAGGTTTCTGTGTCTTGGAGAGAAAAAAAAGAGAAAGAACCTGCCTCCCGGCTCCTGTTTCTACGGATTAAACTGTGTTATGTAAATTGAAACTGGCCTGGATTCCAAAAACAGAAGGAAGAACCACCTGGCTTCCTTGCCCTTGCTCCCCGGAAGCTTGCCACTTGCATCATCAGGGACTTCTGAGAAAGACCCCTCGCCTTGGGGACCCTGAATATCCTCCTCAGAGGCAGTGGCTCCAGGTAAGACTGAGGGAAAGAACATGTTTCCTGAGCTCCTGTTCCTTAGAGGGAAATCTCTCCTACATTGGCTCCCTCTCAGCTGAATTAAAATGAGGTGAAAGAGAGGGTGGCCCACAAGGAATAACTTCATTCTCTTGATCAGGTCTCCCCTCTTTTGGCCTCTGTAACATTTTTATTCCTACTCCCAAGCCCTTCCTTTACTGGTCATCCTACCTGGAAAGACCTCTCTTCTTCCAGCTACTATCAAATAAGTTGTCTTTCATGGCTTCATACCCAACTTGAGTGCCACTTCCCAGTTCTCCTAAAAAGTTTTCTCTTACTTCCAGGTCATTGGGCTCTTCCCTTCTGTAAACTCCCATAGCAGGCCACATCAGCCGCAAACAGCATTCTATCACTTTCTTCTTCACCTCTCCTCCTTGGCTTTTATTTCCACAACAGAATGGAATGCTGAAAAGAACATAAGCTTCTGAACTAGACCAGATCTGAATTTAAATCCTGACTCCACCACTCACTATATTTATATAGAACGTGGGGAGAACAGTTTATTTTCCTAAGTCGTGGTTCCTTAAAGTCATAAGATAATACCTACTATGATTAAATAAGGTTACTTAAAGTGATAAACGCAAGTGCTTGGCATCCAAGATTTCCCATTCCACCTTGCTTGACTGCAAACTCCTTGAGAGCAGGGTCCATGTCTAGTTCTCTGTATCCATTGGAAAGTACTGAAAGTACATACAGACTGACTTGAGGATTACTTACAAATTCTTACTCTTATAGGCGTCATCCCCAAATAGCTTCCTCCTTTCCCAGAAGCTGAGATTCCCAACATCAGACTCATTATCATTTACGATACTATCTCCATTTTAAATCCCAGACTACTATTAACAATGACAACCAAATTATAGTTTCACGTGATCTGGCAGTGGAAAGCTTTGGTACAATGAGACACAGGACAAATAATTTTTGATAAAGAAAAAAAGGAGATGAGGGGTGGCCTGAAAAAGACTGCATGCAGGTGACACTCCAGATTGGACTATAGGAATGACCTCGATTACCCCAAGGAGAACCCATGGGGTACTGGGGTCCAAGTTAGGGAGACTGATCTTTAAAACAGAGTGGGGGGGCACCAAAACCAAATCTTGTTTAGATCTGAATTTATTTCCCTTTAGGTGCCTGCTCACCCTTTCCTTACAGATGATTTCTACTGCCATTGAGGTCTGGTCTAGTATGACTCTCATTTCATCATAACCAAGGCTTCTTCAGCCACGTCCATGGTATGAGTAGAAGAAAGGGCCTCTACTGCCACCCAAAATATCTTGCCAATGTACCAAAATATAAAATTCTTCACTAGGAATAAAAAAGCCTTTCATTTTACATGGAGAGACAAATTTAACATGTAAATACTTATGAAAGAGGTGACCTATGGTCTTGTACTCATTCATGTTCAATCATCAATGAAGGATATTTGATGATTTAAAAGCAAGTTTTAACATGAGAGAAGGCATACTTGGTAGTCTAAAAATGGGGATATTGTGAGAAAAAGAATGGTACAGAAAGGATCAGCTACAGACTCAGAGGACAAACTTTGCCTAGTTCACAATGTTTTACCATATGTGCTGCCAAAAAGTGAACTGGGTATGTGTGTTTGACTCTCACCCCTCCCTGAGAGAACTAATCTATGGTTAGAGTACCCCTAAATAGAGTAGACAGTGATCCTGGCCATTGATGGATCAGCAAAATTCTGTATGCCTTTGAAGGAGTGGAAAGAGGAGGCACAGCTGTGACATACCACATTTTATGATTTCAGTCTTGACTGGCTGGCACTACAGGAATTCAGACTTGCTTTATGGCTGGGGAGAGAAGTTAGTTAGTGTTGGGTTGTCACCACTCTTAAGAAGAGAGGAGACAGCAAAGAGAAAAATGGATTCCATTGGCTCCTGAAGAACTTCAGGCAGGGTGGAACTTCCCCAAAATTCCTTCTTACCCAAACATCTCATCAACCAGTCCCAAAGACCCTGAAGTGTTGACTAGAGACTGAAACTTATTAAGAACACACTGTGTTCTTTCTTGAGGGCAAGGAGTCTATCTTATTCATCACTGTATCCCACACACAAAGAACAGTGCATAATATAAAGTTAACTTTAAATACACATTTGACGCTCAGACAGATTTAAGTAACAGCCTCACTCTCTCTTGATAGCATCAAAATTCAAACCCAGATCTACCCAACCCAAAAGCATCAATAGTTTCTACTCACTCAGTGGCTTTTAATATTTCCTGACTGATGCTTTCAGAAATATATTTTACATCATAGCTCAGTAGAAATACACACACAACATATGCACACACACTT